CATCATAGAAGGCAATCAGGTTGGTCAGGCATGACTTGCCCCTGGTGAATCCATGCTGACTGTTCCAAATCACCTTCTTCCCCTCTAAGTGCTTAGCAATGGATCTTTGTGGACCTGCTCTATGATTTTTCCAGGGACTGAGGGGAGGCTGACTGGTCTGTAGTTCTCTGGATCCTCCTTTTTCCCTTTCTTAAATATGGGCACTATGTTTGCTCTTTCCCAGTCATCTGGGACCTCTCCTGATAACTATGAGTTTACAAAGATGATGGCCATTGGCTCTGCAACTACATCAGCCATCTCCTTCAGCACCCTCAGGTGCATCCCATCCTGCTCCATGGACTTGTATATATTCACCTTTTCTAAAAAGACCCTAACACCTTTTCTTTCACCACTGAGGGCTGCTTACCTCCTCCCCAACCTCTGCTACCAGGTGCAGTGGTCTGGGAGCTGACCTTGCCTGTGAAGACTGAGATGAAAAAGTAATTGAGTGCTTCAACCTTTTCTGCATCCTCTGTCACTAGCTTGCCCCCTCCCCCCGCCCATTCAGTAAGGGACCCATACTTTCCTTGATTTTTGTCTTGTTGCTAACACACTTGTAGAAACCCTTCTTGTTACTCTTCACATCCCTTCCTAGCTGCAATTTCAATTGCGTTTTGGCTTTCCTGACTTCATCCCTGCATGCCCAAGCAATATTCTTATACCCCTCCCTAGCTGTTTGTCCAATTTTCCACTTCTTCATAGTTTCATAGTTGGTAGGGTTAGAAGGGACCCAAGCAGATCATCAAGTCTGACCCCCTGCCATGGCAGGAAAAAGTACTGGGGTCAAATGACCCCAGCAAGGTGTTCATCTAACCTCCTCTTAAAGACCCCCAGGGTAGGAGCCAGCACCTATCTGCCCATGCAGATGAGCTTCTTATAAGCTTCTTTTTTCCTTTTGTGATATAGTTTAATGAAAAGTTCCCTGCAAAGCCAAGCTGGTCTTCTGCCATACTTACTAGCCTTCCTGCACATTGAGATGGTTTGTCCCTGTATTCTCAGTAAGGTTTCTTTAAAGTACATCCAGCACTCCTGGACTCCTCTCCCCCTCAAACTTGATTCCCAGGGGATCCAGGCCATGAGTCCCATGAGCAAGTTGAAGTCTGCTTTTTGGAAGTCCAAGGTCCTTACTCTGCTGCTCTCCATCCTTCCATTCCTCAGGATCCTGAACTCAATCATCTTGTGGTCGCTGCTGCCCAAGTTGCCATCCACTACTACATTCCCCACTAATTCTTCCCTGTTTGTGAGCAGCAGGTCAAGAAGAGCATGGCCCCTAGTTGGCCACTCCAGCATTTGCACAAGGAAGTTGTCCCCAGCACTCTCCAAAAACTTCCTGACTTGCCTGTGCACTGCTGTATTGTCCTCCAAGCAGATGTCAGGATGTTTGGAGTCCCCCATGAGAACCAGGGCCTGTGACTGGGAAACTTCCACTAGCTGTCTGAAAAAAGCCTCATCCACCACTTCCTCCTGGTCTGGTGGTCTATAGCAGACCACCACCACAACATCACCCTTGTTGCTCTCCTTTCTGACCCATAGACTTTCAACAGACCTATCTCCAGGTTCATAATGGAGCTCTCTGCTATTCCAATCATGTCATAGTTCTGTGATTGTGTGAGGACTTCCAATTCTTCTGTCTCTTCATCAGGTGGATCCCATCTCTTCCTAGCAATCCTTCTTGGAGCATCATCCCATGGTAAAAGAAGCCAAAGCCCTGCTGGCAACACCATTTGCACAGCCAGGCATTGATCTGCAAAATGCACCTGCTCCTGCCTGGGCCTTTTCCCTTGACCAGTAGGATTGAGAACACCACCTGAGCCTCTGTCCTCTTCACCCTTGCACCCAGAGCCCTGTACACACACACACACACACACACACACACACACACACTGGTTAGTCTCTAAGAAGCAAATCTACCCTGTCTTCCAGCAGGTATTGGACAAAAGAGAAAGCCTTTAATATTTTAGCCTAATAGCCTACTAGATAGAGTACTCACCCAGGAGGTAGGCAACCTAAGTTCTAGTTCCCCTTCACCCAGAAGGGCCTTTAAGCCAACAACTGGTTCCCAGCACAGTGTACTAACCAGCAGGCCACAGGTTAAGGCATTACCCAAACTTCGTCTTGAAGCTGGCCCCCTCAGCAACCAAGAGGGTCATATATGGGGCCAAGAGAAAAACAGACATGTTAGCAGGTAGGTAGATCAGTGAGATAGATGCTAGAAGTGGGGTGGATCTGGGTTCTTGCCTGGGTGCTTAGTCTTAATGGTGCAGAAACTTCCCTGCTGCTCTCAGTCCATCTTATCCAATGAATAATAAATACAAGGTTCTCAACTTCAAAAGGGGAACTGGTTTATGCCTGATCATTAATGCAGTGTACAAGGAAGTAGAAGAGGGAGGTTCAAATCCCCTTCTGATTGACGGGAGTCCTAAGACCTGGGTCCGCTTCTTCTTGGGTGACCATTAGGCTAGTGGCCTGAAACAGAGGAAGTTCCCCCATACATTTAATACCTGCTAGTAATGGGATTTTGCCTGGCTACAGTTTTGTGATTTACATCACCTAGGTATGAGAAAGTCACAACTTTCTGTAAAAATATCATTCTTTTTCTGCTCAGTTCCACTGTTGTATAATGTTTCTCTTTTTCTCTACATGGCGGCAACATGTCACCTCTGATCTATATGATTTAAGAAAAATGAGCTATATATAGCTCATATAGCTATATGAGCTATATAAGATTTGTCTTATATGGTTTAAGACAAATCTATTTGTAGAGCTTGTAGAATGGTTTGAGTGTTTAGGTGGAATTAACTTCATTTATTTTATTACCAGTTCATGTTGTTAATGCACACATACTGACTTGCATCATTTTCTATGCTGGACATTTGGCTTGGCTACAACTTTTAGTGGTCTGCTACCATGGTAGCTACATCAGTTCAAGCATCTATGCAACTTAATCCTCATAGAAATTTACTTGGTGAGACTGATATCTTAGGTCTTGTCTATGCTATGGAACTAATAGTGTAATATCTATAGCTCTGTCATTGAGCCCCTCAGTGAAGACGAAGCATATACTGGCAGAAGGCATTTTATTTTTCTGCTAGACTAGCTGGACCCTCTCCCTGAAGGACGTAAGCTAAGTCCATAGAAGCTTTCTTCTTTGATATAGGCACAGATATGCTGACGGGTTTTACTGGCATAGCTATGTCAGCTAGGTGGTGTGAATATTTTCACACCTCTCACTACATAGCTAATTTAGCAAAACTTTCTTGTTTAGACCTGGATTTATTGGCTTTTCTGTCTATAGTAAGGATTGCCATCCAGAACAGTACTTCAGTATCTGACTGCTGGTGGCTCTACACAAGGCAAAATGGTGGAGTAAATTGTTTCTGGAAAGATACTACCTACTTTTCAGCAGTTTAGAAAGTATTGAGAGGCGTGACTGAAAAAATAAAGTTGGCAAAACTTTATAAAAATGTTTCTCATCAGTGATGGTGCTCCATCTTTTTCCTTTCTTTTTAATAAAAAATATAGAGTTTAAAAGTACAGCTAAAGCAAGCTGTTATGCTAGAATTGAGGGGAACCAGAATTCAGGGCCTGATCAATTGAAGGCAGTGACAATTGCGGGGGATAGAGGAAGATCAGTATATTCAAGGGTCAGCAATTTAGTGAACAATGTCCTGCAGTTCCATGACAAGTACAGTCTTCCCCCTCTTCATTTTACGAGTGTAACTGGCATACCCTGTTCCCTTACACTGAGTTCATCTATTTACATCAGTAATCTGCAAGCAAGAGATTGCTGATATCCAGGAAGCAGCGCTTTTGTCCTTACCAGACAGATTCTATTTCTAGCTCTGCCCTTTAGTGTATGATTTTGAATAAACCACTTTGCTTCTCCGTGCTTCAGTTTCCTTATCCATAAAAAGTCTGTAGCAAAAGTCCATATCTCACTGTAGAGTTGAGAAACTTTATCCAATCATGTTTACAAATCTTCAAAATCTTTAGATGAAAGGAGCTACAAAGACTTAGATGCAGATCTTATGTTGAAGATGATTTTTTATTATAAATTTACACATTACACTACTGACAATGCACAGAAAATGTAAAAAGTTATAGTTTCCTCACAATTTCATGATTACAAAACTTCACAACATTTTGTTAAAACTAAAAAAACCCTTCATGTGTACATAAATAGAATTTTGAGCATAAATAACAGTAACAAAATAAACAGATGTATGTATTCAATAAATTAATTATAAATATTGCATTGGTAATGAAGTGCTAGGTCAAAAAATACTAATATATCCAGTACAGTTTTCTATGTGTAGACATAGCTATTAAAAATGAATCCTGGGAAATGAGTAATTCTCTGAACCCCTTTTCTCACTATTTAAGTTATTCCTTTATGGGAATGCTACAATAGGAGAACAGCACTGCATCATGTATAAATTTTAGGCCATTTAATGCCCGTGATCCCTCCACCACAGATGAAAGGCAAAACTGGCCCAGGTATGCAATATTACAACCAATAGGAATTTGGCCCTCCATGCCAATGGGTACCAAATCAGGCCCTGGGTGGCCTTGAAAGAACTGCTAATGCTTTAAAAGGTAGACTAAGAAAGCATATTTACAAGCAATTTGACCTACACAGTGTATATTTTCAGTCTCTCTTCATCTCCTACGGACATACAACAGGATCTTTATTACCTAAAAACTAATCTGCTTCTATTGCCTAGTTCTTACTTGATCAACATAAATTACATATTCTATACAATTATTCATCCCTGTATAGGATTTTTATTGACATTAAGGACATTTCTATGTTGGATCAAGGACTGTATAGGTCCCAGCATATTCATCAGCAAATACTGGTTGAGCCCATTAAGATTCAAAGATCCTGTTTTCCAGCATGAACCCTTAGCAAAAAGCAAAGGGAAGAAAAAGCACAATATACAAGAAAGACTATTTTCCAGTGGACTGTTTTCAGGGGAAAGGTTTCCCAGAGCATTGTCAGCAACTTTTTAAGAGAGAGATTTAACCCTAGTTCACATATTTGTTAGGCTTTTAATCATACTTTAGTCCAAATGTTTGCTTTTAAAGGCTATGAAGTTAAGAGTTCATTAACCTTACTGCAAATGCGAAACTTTTGCTCCTATCAGAAGGAATCAGGGGTGAGTACGAAGTAGTAACGAACTGACAGAGAAAAATGTTAATGATTTTTTCACTGTAGCCGTTGCCAGATAGAAAGGATCCCTGATCATTATGTATTTTATCAGAGCTGAACAAATTATGCTTTTTTTGGTTGGGTGTTATATTTTTTCCCTAATATGTTATTAAACATGAATAGATAGTTTTTTAGAATGCTGCCTTCTTATAGGTTGGGGACATTGCAAGAACAATGTTAGCACCATACTCTACATGTAAAAATGTTCTAAATACTACTACTGGAAGAGCTAAATAATACACTGGTTCTGTCAATGTTTCTTTAAAATTATATATAAAGTCAGGGCTATTAGTTATTTCTGAAAGCTGGGGCTCTTCACTGGAGATAATTTAGAGGTGATTCCAAAGGGGTCCATGCTATCAGTCTCAAGAGGTGAAGAAAATATATCTGATTCCAAAGTATGGCTATAATCACCATATTCCCCAAAATCTGTTGACTCCACAGGCACAGTGTTGATCATGGGTAAGAAATGAGATAATGGAAGAAAATCTTTTCCTTTGAATTGTTGCCTTTGTTTGGCACTACTCAAAGACACAGAGATTCCATATTTCTTGGATTTATATACATTGTAGCCATCTGGGCGGATCTCCTCTTCAAAGGAACAATCCTCTGTAGAGTACCTGAGCTGAACAGTAAGGAGTGAAGAAAATTACAAATATGTTTACAATTCTCATTATATTCAGCTATGCTAGAAATCTTTTAAGATATGACTTTTTCCTATGTTAATAATGAGACCAACTGAAAGCCCTCCATGTTGTACACAATATTTATAGCAGCCTATGGGGCCATAACAAGTCAACACAGGCCTGATCCAGACCCTTTGAAGTCAATGTAAATTCTTCAGTGAGTTTGGAACAGGGGGCCACATTCCAGCTACCACATACTGTCTAGTCTGCATATTGGGAATAGCTACGGCATACTTCAATACACAGACAGGTAACTGCTGACATTTGCATTACAATCATTATAGCTAAGGACCCAGTCTAGCAATCCTAACATACACATATTCCTCCTGAATTCTATTTGAGATTTTCCCTTTTGAGGGCTTAAGGACCAGGTCTTCAGAAAAGTATCTTTATAAAACATTGTTACACTAATACCACAATACATACATACATGCATACAAACATAGAGAAATGAAAAGGGCAAATGGCAAGTTTTTCATACTTCTTCTTTTATTAGAATTTCTGAAAATTCATTAGTACAGTATCACTATATTATTAGACATTAAACTTATAAAACACAGGTACTGTTATGCAAAATTCTATATAGAAACATATATTTTATAACTTGCCTAGCCATTTGTAGAATGTATTTTAGATATAGCTTACAATGTAGATATAGTGCCTTGAGTTTTTGTATTATCAGGTCAGGCCTTTCCAGATTGTTCACATAAGCATTATTTTTCTTACAACTCTGGTGTTATTTCTGGCTCAGTCACTAGAGGTAACTGAACTCTGGGCCAATAAAAGAGGATTGCTGATTATGTCTAGGTCTTCAGTGATAAAAAAATACTGTTCTTATATGAACTCTATACCTGTTAACTATAACCCATGAAATACATTTGCTTTTTATTTTATTTTGGTTGTTAAAAAACATATTTTTGTCATGAATCTGCAATAATGTAGAAGCAACTACATAGTAGCTACCTGATAAAAGTACTTATATGGTCCTGTAATAAAGTAAATACATTTGTTTCCTTGCAGTTAAGTTTGCAGTATTTATTAGTCTGTATATTATACACCTTCAGTGAATATATAAACAAGATAAATATTTCGGGTCAAATTGTGAACCTATTATTTCTGTGGGTAGTCAGTTACTCATGCATGTAGTTGCACTGAAGTTAATGGAACTATAGGTGGATATAGGGTGCTTCACCAGTGTGTGAATAGCCTATAATAAGACCTGATTCTGCAACCCCTGATCTCAACCCATGCTGTTTAGTACATTTCTCCATTCACTTCAGTGGGTCTACCTTGAGAACAAAGTCTTCCCTAATATGAGGAAAGTAAGAATTTCCTTGAGAGCTTGCAGGCTACCTGGATGATGGATATACATGAGTTAGGTGGCACTGGAAATATTGCTTCCCTGATCTCACCCTAGAGCTAGTGGGTACAGTCTTGGCTAGCAGAACTCTAAGTGTGTGTGTGTGTGTGTGTGTGTGTGTTTGGGGGGGGAGGTCATTTTCAATTGGTATAAGCCAGTAGCAAATCCTACTTACACACACATGCATACACACACAGCATCTCAAGAAAGGAAAGGCAAGGAGAGAATTGGTCTTAGAGGATAAACTTTCTGGGCCAAAGCGTCTGCACTTCACTTCTGTGAGAAGTCAATGGGACCACTCACATGAATCAAACATACAGTATTTGGCCCACTATCTACATATATGATTGCAAGGCTGCCTGGGTAATGATGTGTACACATGTGTAAGCATTCAAAGTATTAATAATTACCAATTAATATATAACTATTTATTCTGCTCTAGTAAATATGTTCATAAAATAAGGACTGACCAAAAGCAAAAGTAATGTAAAGGGTATTACATTACTGTGTAGTATAACCTCTGAGGGCCTAATTTTGTCCCCAGGGATGTCAAGAGGAAATTTCCTATGACTTCAATGGGAGCAGGATCTGGTCAATAGCTAGTGATGATCACTGAGCATCCCATTTGGATATCCACTAAAGGTTCAAACTGGTACTTTGCATACACAATAATCTGAGCTCCAAAATGCACATCCTGCCTTATACATTCAGTTTACTGATGGTTTGATTGTAGGCAAAAAGGAAGGAAATTCAGAATGAAAGCCCTAATCCTGTCATATACTCAAATAAATCTCCCACTAGATCCTACTCTTTATTTCCATTTAAAGCAAATGGAAAATTTGCCACTGTGCTAGCCCTTGGCCAAAACAGTAAGAATTTTGCCTGAGTAAGGAAAGCAGGATTAAGCCTTACATTTGGCTCTAAGAGGAAAGTAACTCTTCCCGGTATCTCTCAACTAACTACATAGTTATCACCTGGGGATGTATTTAGCTTCTTCTCTGCAACTTAACTAGTTATTACAGACATCTGACAAAAGCAGGACTGTACTGCTGATGTATCTAACTGATATGCTGAAATATGTAGATGGAAAAACCATGAGTTAACAACATGATAAGAAAGTCACTATAAGTCTTCAGTCTCCCATGACCCTTACAGGTGAACTGTTGATCACAAGTAAGAAGTGAGACAACGGAAGAAAGCCTTCCCCCTGAATTCTTGTTTCTGTCTGGCACTACTTAAAGAGATAGCAATGCCATATTTCTTTGATTTATACATATGGTAGCCATCTGGGCATATCTTCTCTTCAAAGGAGCAATCTTCTACAGAATACCTAAGCTGAACAGTAAGAAAACAAGTAAAAATACACCGGCACTGTTGAAAACCTAAAGTGCACTGAGTGGATTGTCTTTGTCATGGCAGGGCCACATATAGATTTGGGATTTTTTTTACCTATATTCTCTTTGAAAGTAGAAAATGTAAAGAAAACTGCAAAGGGAGAAAAATGCAACTGGGAACCAAAACTGGAGCACTTCCCCTGATTTTTTTTTATTTGTCGTTCTGGAAAGTTGTTTTGTTATTATTATTACTACTACTACTACTATTATTATTTGGCAGCAAAATTAAATGTTCACTAGCAGCTTCTAGGGACGCCCCTGGTGACAAAAGTAAACATTGTTGTCTTTCCTGCCTAGTGCAGGGGTCTGGACCAGATGATCTTGCAAGGTCCCGTTGAGCCCTCTTGAGTCTATGAATCTCAAGAGTTTTGTCTGCCTTCTGTGGGGGTCCCTGATACACCTCCAGCTAATCCTCCAGGCCAGTTTAGGTTAGAGGGGGTTTAAGCCTTAGGCTAGGGACAGACATTCCACATGACCCGGTTTAAGTGCTCAGTCACTGGTTTACAGATGTTCAGTGCACATCAACCAGTTTGAAAATGGCTGAAACCAGTTGGAGCTAAACCTGGTTGACTGTAGTATCAGACTTAACTGATGTGGGTCAACCTGGTTTATGCAATGTCTGTCCCAGACCTTCACGACACGTGAAAGCTTGCGGTAGGAAATGCAGGCGAGCTCCTTGTGCTGTTTTGTTTTGTTTTCTGGAGAGCATCCCAGCGTGACCCACCTCAACCCCTCCAGGCTCATTTCCTTGCTCCTGCCTTGCCCGCGCCAGACCCCTAACGGCGTGAGAAGGAAGATGCGGTCGGCTGGAGCGGTTTTGTCTGGCCGGGGCCGGAGGACACGATAACAAGCCCTTGCGAGCGCATGCAACCCCCCCGCCCGGCCCCGCCAGCTATTGACTTTCCCAGGCTGGTTCAGTGCCCGCCCGCAACTTACAAGCCCGTGCAGCTTCCCTTCCTCCTCCATGCAGAGGTACCGCGAGCTGTGCACGCCCTTGATCGCCACCGTGCGAACTGCCACGGCCCTGATCTCCAGCAAACCTGCGGAGCACAACGAGAGAGAAAAGCCAGGTTACAGCAGGAGCGGGGAGGTAGCTAGATCGCCGCCGGCCCGCCGCGCACGCCGCCCTCCGCCTCCCCGGGCGATCAGAGGCGAAACTCCCCGGGCCCCCTCCCGCGGGCAGGTTTCAGGTGCGGCTCCCTTCCTTTGTACTCACTTTGAGGACTCTGGCTGGTGGTGCCGTCCACTTTGCCATCATTGCTGATCCTCAGGAAGTAACTGAACAGTCCGTGCTTGCTGGCAGTGTAGAGGTGCCTCAATCTGATGGGCTCCCCCCAGCCATAGTTCACGTGTGGCCCTGCGTCGGAGAAAGGCAGGGAATCGGCCACCATTGCACAACAGAGTCCGAGCAGAGCCAGGGACGTCGGCGCTTTGCACAGGGGCTGCCACATCTTTTATTTTTCCACCCCCCCAGGTAATGTAAATGGCAAGCTGCCTCCTCCCAGCTCTCTTTCTCTCCCGCACACGAGCAGAGGCGCCAATGCTGCTACGAGAGAAGGCAGTGGCTTGGTGCTTTTGGAGCTAATTGCTTCAGGGATGTAGTAAACGCAAAGCCAATCCCCCTGCCTTTTATAGGTCCCTGTTATCAGCCCAATCGATAGGGCTAAATCCAATTCCAATATAGCGACTATTTCATAGCAGGAATTGGCCGGATCAGTCACTCCCCTCTAAAATATTGATCGGATGACATCATTTCACAGGAGACACCCTGAGCCCCCCCGCCCTGGAAAAGCTTTATCCTGCAATCTTGCTCGTATTTGAAATCAGCCCTCTTCCAGCCTGAGCAAGATCACGTGCGGCTCATCCTCATGCAAACCTCCGCCACGCCACCCAGGAGGCACCGGACGCCTGGGCACTGGCGGAGTTTGAAACGGCCTCTGCCCACGCCGTGCCCATCCGGGGGTGGCAGAGGCGGTTGTGTGTATGCCTCAACATCCAGCAGCCCGGCAGGAAAGCAGCCCCCCGGATCTCTGCCTGCTGGGGAAAAGAAGGCAGGAGTCATCGAGAAAGGAAGGAAGAAAGAAATCAATCTCAACGTCCCAGTTATGCAGCATGGCACAACTTCCTTTTCCAAGTCAATCAGCTGGTGGCCAGGGATCCAATGCCCCCTCCACACTTTAAAGAAGAACGGGCACATCATCTTGAAAGAAATCCACGTTAACCACAAATGAACTATGAAGTTACCAACAAAAAACCCAACAACCCCAAAAAGAAAAACCCTCCCCTTAGTCAGGCTCTAAACCTGCAGAAGCCCTTCCCCTGCAACATACACCATTGCCCAGACACTGATTCAGAATCCTCTTTCTTGACATCTTGTATATTATCTTGTATATTAGGTATATCTTGTATATTAGGCATCTTGTATATTAGGTTCACTCCTGTGCTTCCCTGGCTAACACAGCACTAGGAAAGAGACTGAAGAGGTGACCTAAGGAGCTCAGAAGGGTTAGGACCCATCTTTTCACTATGACTTACCCTTGTCAACAGAGGTTAGTTCAGGACAGCCACAGATGAGATAGTGGGCGAAACTCCTGTAATATGGGAGGAATAAGAAAAAAACCCCCACATGTCCTCAAAGCAAGGGTCATCTCTACAGCTTCTCAGTAGCCCAGCCAGGATAAGCCACTCTTACCAGCTCATCTTCTATCCCTGACCATGAGGGAGAGGCTGCAGATCAGGAAAATACTCTGATTGCAACCATTAATATGAACCCATTCATTAATGCAGTCATAACTGGGTGCCTCAGCTTTGGATTCCAAGGAAATCAAATCATACATTCACACACTGTAATGCTATTCCCCCTGGAGGGGAATATACCATCAAAGAGGTGGAAGCATTGTCTATCCACTTGCTTCCTTTGCAAATAGGGTTTGCTCGTAGAGTGTCTGAGATATAACAGCAGAAATCAGATCGCATCCCATGAGGCGTGCAAGTGTTACAGTAACTCATGTCACACTCCCTGCCAATCCAGAAAAGACAGAGGTGAGCTTTCTTCAGAGCACCTAGTAATGTTGTGGTTAGTTCTGCAGACCCTCAGGCTGTAGCTCCTATTTTGCTTTCTTCTGAATTAGGAAGATGTAATTCCTAATTCCAAGATTTAGTGCGGGCCAGGAGGACAGCTCTTGATCAACTCAGCATTCAGAAGGAGGTAGCACTCGGTTGTAAACATACAGATCATTTGCGCTGGGTTTTCTTACCTCTAAGTCATTTCTCATTTGGCCGCTAGATGGAACTTTAAACCTTAAATCTCAGTTCTCCCTGACATGATGAAATTGTGCCCTTGTAGTCAATGAGAAACTTGCTATTTCACTCTGGATTGTTTAAATATTGTATTATCAGTGGTGGCCTTAGGGTTGTGGGGCCCTGGGCAAGAGAGTCATTTGGTGCCCCTTAGGAGCATAAGTTGAAGAAAGAACAAAGTTTTTAATAAGTTGAAGAAAGAAAGAGTTTTTTAACATAGAGCTATATCATAGGTTCATTGCATCTTCTGTGTTGGTCCATCTACAACACAAATTCCTCATTGAACATAAGTTGATAGCCAGTGTGGGGGCCCTGGGTGGTCACCCAGTTTTCCCTCTCCTAAGGCTGCTACTGATATTATAGTATTGAGAAGGCTTATTCATCCATCTCATATTATTCTAAATATATGGCTCACAAAAGAATATCTATGAAAGGTATATGTACTACAATTCTACTGTTCCCAGCTCTCATTACAATAAAACCAGATGCACTGTACCTGTGTGTTCCTGTTTAATACGCACCTTAAATCATACCTATTTGAAATAGTCCCAGGAAATCAAAGATAAGCTTCCTGAGGTTTTCATATCTGTACATTGCTTGCACCAAATGCCATACCACTCTCCTGTTTCATAAGTCCTCCACCACTAACTGTGGCAGTTAGTTTCCATCTGGTATCTGCAGCTCCCATTTCCTGAAGGAGAATTAATGCATCATGATATGAAGAGAATTTATGACCTCTTGTTGAGATATTACCTGTGTGCTTTCTCATTTAGTTATTTCCCCACATCTCAAATAAAAGTTAATCAGAAAGAGAGAGTGTATATGGAAAATGATATCATTAAGTAGACCTGCTGTGGCATTTTTATTTAACCTGTGCTTCATTGTTATTTGAAACTTTTTATTATACTTTGTGAGGTTGCTGCTGGCCTCCTTTGTTCTTGCTAATTACACTTTTAACTAATTTTCAGGAGCAATTTTAGTGAGTAAAAGAGAAACCCATGGGATTTATAAATCTAACAAAATAAATGCCCTTTCCCAACCACACAATACATCTTAAAAACCTAAATAAATATTTAAAAAATCCACGGTCCCCTTCAGGAACTACAAATCTTCTGCCAACCTAAATAATACAATTTGTATTATTACATATTGTATTATATTATTATTTGTATATGTACAATTTGTATATTGTATACAATAGATACATTAGATAAATTTCTCCTTTCATCACTTTTTCTATATGTTTATCTTGCTATCTGGAAAATACTTGTGCAAAAACTCGTTACTCATGGCTGTAGTCTTATTTAGTTCAATTAAGCATCTTATGTGGAAAAAGTTATTCTAATGCATAAGGCTTTGCAGAATCAGGCAAACACTTACACATATGTTTATTTTCATTATCCTGATGAGTAGTTCACAGTAGCAAAATTAAGTATTTCAGTGCTTTATGCTGTAAACTCCTCAGACCATGGACATAAGCTCCTTACATTTGACAGAGGTTTTTAAAAGTGATCAATGATTCTGGACAGCTCAGGATTTGGGTCATCAACTTGAGAAACTGAAATGGAACCTCATATTCTCAGCATGGGTAGACAGCATTTTCTGAAAACCAGAACAATTCCCTCTGGTTCAAAATGCCTCCAGCGAGAAACCCTAGAATTGTGAACCTCTCAAAAGACTTATCACTTTTGAAAATATTTTCTTGTAAAGCAATATGCGAATTCATAGCACTTTAAAAATAATGAATAGCAACATGGAGTCAGAGCACCTAATTTTCTTCTCTGCTGAATTCTGCAACATTATTACATGACTGCTTCAAAGACAGTTCACTGCCCTGCAACCCTGGGCCCCACAGCAGTTGTGCATGTAACTCATCCCAACTACTTGTACATACTTTAATGTATAGCACATCCACACCACACACATAGAGATTACAGACTGAAATTAATTCAATTTTATTTTATTCCTCCACTGGGTATGCATTTTAATGAAATTAGCAAAACTACAATACAACAACAGCAATTGTAATAGTAGTAGTAGTACAGTGCTTTCTGTCTGAGGAGCTCAAACTTCTTTTAAAACATTGATTGGTCAATGCTCTCAACACACCTATTAATTAACATAAGTTGTCTGGAAGGTCGCCTGGCGGGATGCACCCTAAACACTATAGACATTTATACACATGCTTCAAAAGTGAAGCAGGAGAGGGGGTGCTTTAATTAGAGCACTCTAATTAAAGCACCTGGAGCATCTCATGTATCAGCGTCTCCATGCTTTATCTAAAGCTCATCAAATGAGTTATATTCTGTATTCTGTTTTATGTAACTTTTAGTTAAGTAGGCCTCTCAGATGCTCTTCACTTTAAAACAGGACAAGAGGCTGGGTATAGCAACAGGCCTCTGAGCCTGCTACTGTATTGCTCTCCAATTAGCTACTCGTTATTTCATTTTATTGGAATGTTAAATACTGTATTTTTATTGCATCCTGTAACCAGTGTTAAGCTCACTGGGTTTCTAAGACTAAAAAGCATGGGACTTCAGCAAGGAGATGGTGTTTATGGGTAAGAATGAGCTATGGACATAGCTAGTACATCTATGCTGGTCTTTCCAGCAGAAAGTGATGCCTCTTTGCTTGCTCTTCTTTTAGCTGTAGCCATAACCCTCTCCCCCACCCTACTGTTCCTGTTCCCTCTTGGAAAGGGTGAAAAGGGCAGTAACATTATCAAAATAGTCTCCACCTTTAAAGAGTGGAAAACTGAAGCACAGAGAAGCAGAGTGATTTTTCCAGTACTGCATTCTAAGTCAAGGACAGAGCTGACTAGAAGCCATTATCATTCACCAGTTGTTTACAGACCATGTTACATTTTTATTATTTATTTAGAATAGTCACAAAGAACCCATTTTCCACTGAAATCCAAGCCAAATCCAGGCTGAACATTAGGAAAAACTTCTTTACAACTAGGGTGTCCAGACTATGGAACAAGCTCCCCCCAGAGGTGGTGCAATTATCTATCCTAGAGGTCTTCAAGAGAAGACTGGATGGTCACTTAGCTGGGGTCGTCTGACCCCAGATGTCTTTCCTGCTCATGCAGGGGGCTGGACCCAATGATCCCTCGGGGTCCCTTCCAGCCCTGTGATTCTATGAAATCCAAACTGGGTGCCTAAATCCCTTTTAAAAACATCTTATAGTACATGATATGTACAACATTAGAAATGGTCTAAGTGAGTTTTCAGTCTCACTCCAATTCCTAACCCATATACAACACAGAATTCTCGTAATTAATTGTCACCAAGAAAGGACATAATGAGTTGTTGCTTGAAATGGTTATTCCAGTCCAGGTTTGGGGAGGTATT